ATTCTTGATCTCAGCTGCTAGTCTCTCTTTAACCCTCACCAAAAAAAAAATAACGCAAATTACCTTGTATATGGTTTATATGTGCTTTTACACATGTATGCTGTCTCTCTTGATAGAATGTAAGATCTTGGAGGACAGACTATTTCATTTTTTTATTCCTATCACCTAGGTAAGTTCTTAGCATGTAGTAGGCACTTAGCAAATGCTTGATGATACCCATTGCCTAGGAAAGTTCTCAGCATGTAGTAAGTGCTTAACAAACACTTAATGATTAGTTACAAGACAAATAAGCAACTCTTCACTTGATCTCTGTTATATGATCGTATCTTATGATAACTAGCATTTGGTAGGTGTTCTAGAGCCATCTGTATGCAGGGTCAAGGGAATGAATATGACGTCCAACCAAAGTGCCTTAGGATGATTTTTGAATGACCATATCTGGGCTAAGATGATGAGGGGACACAGGGAACAGTCTATCTAAATGGATACACCTCTAAAAAAACTATTTTAGAGTGCTTGATGATTTGACTGGAGTTTAATGCTTGGGAACCCTGGGATATTGGGTTCTGTAGATCAGTTTCTCTTCCCTTCAAGCTATGAGAAACTCAAAGACTGATGGAGCTTGAATTCTCCAAGGCCAGCTTCTGCACCACACACAGACATACAGACACCTACCTACACAGCTTGTACTGACTCTGGGAAATGTAAAGAAGGATGAAGAATAAGGTTCTCTTCCATGTATCATGCCTGGTCTACATGTACCTTCCTGACCCCACTCCATCTTATATTGATCAGTGGGCAATTTAATATTTGAACACAACAGCATGATTTCTGGTCTTGAAAATTATAGCATAATGAGAGCCTTTAAAATGATAAGTGGCAGAGTAATGAGAGAGTATAAACATGTGGTTCATGAATAGAATTCACATGAAAAATGAACTGTTGGTTATAAGACATTGCCTAGTGCCCAAATGACATTCCCTTAACATCATCCCCTCCCATTATCAACTCAGCTGAATCAATCATATGCACATTATTATTGAAAGCATTGCTAGAGTGATTTTAAATTTTGAGAAGAAAATCCAGCCACTTTCCCAGGGCTAACTTTGGAATGTCTTGCCTTTCTAGCATTTGCCCCATTTCATAGAAACTTTGATCAGAGACTAGTGGAATGTAAGCTCTTAGATGGCAGGAATGTTATTTTTTTATCTTTGTATCCTCAGGACCCATCCCTAAGACTTACATAAATCATAGGTGCTTAATAAATGTTTACTGGATTGAACTAACCTTTCTCTAACCATATAATTGTCTGGTAATTGCTTATCTTCCCACCCACCAAAAAAAAAATTAACTACCCTTTTCCTTCACATTTTAGTATTTTCTTTGATGATCCTTCCATCTTCATTGTCATTTAATTCATGATCTTACTGTGGTCTTTGGTTCTTCCCTCTCTCCTAACCCCATATCAGTTAGTGTTCTCTTGCTTCTCAATTTTCTTATTGTATTTGGTCTGAATCTCTACTTAGTATTGATCACATCCTGCCCTCTGAATACTCATTAATGTATTGCATAATTCATTGTACTTATTAGATTTCAAGCTTCTTGAAGGCAGGGAGGGTTTTATTTTTCAATATTGTGTCCTCAATGCCTAGCACAGTGCCATAGATATAGTATGCTCTTAAAAATGTCAAATTGAATTAAACCTAACTTATATTTCTAATAGAATAATATAGACAGTATCAAGTTAGATAAATGGAGATAAAAGTTTTTATAATGTTAGGGCATTAGGTAAAGAATTTTAATAATTAATTGATAATAATATGATTGTTCTTCTAGTTTTAATCTGAGCTATTATTCATGGTTATAGTTGGAGATAATGGGGTTGAGATGCTGAATGAGACACAAATTTTGCACATAGTCAATGTGAGAATCTGTTTTGTTTGACCATGAATATTTGTTACAAGGTTCCCTCGCGCCCTATCCCATCAACTGTGGAGAAATGGAAAGGAAAGAAAATCAATGCTCTCTAATTAAAAATAAACTTTAAAAGAAAAGAAAAAGGAGAAAAAATTTCTTAGCATTTATAGAGTGCTTTGCAGCTTGCAAAGTCCTTTCCAAATAGTATTTCATTTGATCCTCACAATTGTTATTCAGTCATTTCATTTGTGATCTCTTTTGGGATTTTCTTTGCAAAGATACTAGAATGGTTTGCCATTTCCTTCTCCAGCTCATTTGATATGTGAGAAAACTGAGGCAAACAGGGTTAAGTTACTTGCCCAGGGTCACACATCTAGTAAGCTTCTGAAGCCAGACCTGAACTCATGAAAATGAGTCTTCCTGACAGGACAACAGAGGAAGTGCCAAGAAAAAACACTGAGATTGGTCAATTACCAGACTAGGAACATTCAGCCTCTTATCTGAAATATTCTTAACCTCTGATAAAGGGAGCAAAACTGAAAATACTTTGTCAGTGAAGCCTGTTAAGGCAGTCTGGTGGAGAAGGGAAGAAAAGTGAATAAACATTATTATATTGTCAACCACCTGCCAGGCATTGTGCTAAGTTCTTTACAAATATTTTCTTATTTGATCCTCACAACAACTTTGGGAGGTATGTGTTATCATCCCCATTTTACAATTGAGGCAGGCATATGTTAAGTGACTTACCCAGGGTCACAAAGCTAGTAAGTTTCTAAGGCTGGATTTGAACTGAAGTCATCTTGACTCTAGGACCAGTACTCTATCCACTGTGCCACCTAGCTGCTTCAACAGCTCCGGGGCAGGAGTTGAAGGGAAGAGTTCTAATCTAAGGTACTTAGTAGTTGTGGGATCCTTACACAAGTGGCATGCTCTTTCTCAATCAGTTTCCTTATCTGTAAAATGGGAATAATAATAATAATAACAGCAACAATAATAATATTTATGTCACAGGGTTGATTTAAGAATTAAATGGAACAGTGTCTGCAGGGTATCTTAAAGCCATATAAATTCTAGCTATCTTTACTATTTTTACCCTTAGTGTATGATTATTAAACCCCATTATGAAGTCATGAACCCCTGCTTTGATTTTGGATGGGCCAATCACCTGTTTATCCTCTTCCTTATAATGGAAATAATTTCTTCCTCAATGCTGTTTTGCTTACAATTGTGATTTTACAGAAATAATTGGGTGGGGCCAGCATGTTCCTGCATATCTTCCTTTAAATCAGAGTCAATTTTATTCCAAGATCTAAGACTTTTTTACTCTGCCTATTTCCAGTATTATGATTAAATTGGCACATTCTTTCTGGGTGTGACTTTCTCTTTCTAGAAGGTGTGTCAAAGAAGTGGGAACAGATCTCCTGGCCCAGGGCAGCCTTTCATTGGGTCTCATGATTCCTTTTGGTTCCTCAAAAATAGGGGCAAGGTGGAGATAAAATGTGGCAAGAGAAGGAAAGACTTCTTGTCATAATCTCAAGGGCCATTAGTCTTTATGTGCTTAATTGGGTAGAGGTGGGGATTTGCATATATGCGTATTTGCAGTGCTCTGTTGCAGAGAGGATGATGGATTTGGAGTTATGCTAACTGATTTCTCACCCTGGTGCCATTAATTACATGCTGCTTCATTATAGGCAAATCACATGTCTTCTGAGACTCATCTTCCTCATCTGTAAAATAGGGATAAGAAGCTTTGTCCTCTGTACCTCAAAAGGTAATGGAAAGGATATCGCGTTGCAAAATTTAATTGTGAGTGGTTTGTGACTCCATCCCTATGTGTGTATAAGGTGGCTACACTAAAAAGTCCTTTCTGTGTTCGAGCAGCTGCTGCTTCCTAGATAAAAAGCTGAACTATTAGAAGTCACATACACACATACACATACAAACATATATACACATATTACACACACACACACACACACACACACACTCACACACACACATGGAATCATCAGCTGTTTTTCCTGAAGAGGTATTACTAGATTTGAAAAATCTTTCAGGGCAGTCCCTGGTTGAAAAAAATGAAACATGGCATTGTACTTAGAGTCATGAAGAAGCGAGTTCCAAAACTACCTGCCCCACTCCATAGGAGTCCACTAGATTCAACAAACATTTATTAGGTACCCATCAGCCCAGGATAAGGGCTTCTGATAGGTAAGATATTGTTTTCTCTGTCCTGGAAGCAGGACCCCATGACATTTCCTATACAACCTCACACCTTTCTTCTTCCCCTACTCCTTTTTCAGATCCCCTATGTATGCTGATTTCCTCTGTTATAATACATGTATGCTGATTTCCTCTGTTAGAATATAAGCACCTTGAGGGCATGAGCTATCTTCTTTGCTTGTATTTATCTCCTTAACTCTTCACAAAGTGCTTGGCTCATAACAAGCACTTAATAAATGCTCTGTCTTTCTATCTCTATCAGCTTCTTATCTGTCTATCATCTATCTAGCTATTATATGTCTGTCTGTCTGTCCATCAGTCTCTCTCTCTTTCTCTGTCTCTCTTTCTCTCTCTCTCTTTTTCTCTCTCTCACTGTTTACCATTAGATCTCAACATATAAGGATACATTGAAAGAATAGCAGCCTGTTAGGATCTCTCTCTCTCTTGCTCCAGATACCTCTTTGACCTAGATCACTTAAGTCTTGGAACTCACATGTCAGAAGAACTCTCAGCCTATGGAGCCTATCTCTCTGATTTGAAGGATAGAGTGCTCCTCTCAGAACCTCAATTTAAGAAGGGTGCCCATCCCACTCCCATATCTTCATTCCCCACCCAGGTGTTTTAGTTATTCATCATATATTAGAAACCTTTTTTTTTTCCTGGAAAATCACTTGATTCCTGGAATTTACACCTCAAAAGTACTCTTTGTCCCCAGGGCAAGATTCTACCCATAGATGAGACATCATTTTCTCAATTCATTAGAATGTCAAGGAAAATTGATACTATCAAGTAATGCATTCAATCTCTTGGGCATATAATAGGGTCCAATGGTTGCACTAGCTACATTCAAATGATCCAAGCTGGAACCACCAGTCACAAAAAGACTAATGTAAATGGTTGGATGCACAGATGAAGAGTCCATATGAACAGGGTAAGCAAAACTTTTGTTGCCTGAGGGAGGGGGAGAGGAAGAGGAGGGAGGAAAGGTTAAATAATGAAAGTGAGTGTCTGGCAGACATAGCACTTTCTTCCACCACTTAGACCTTAAGATATATTTAGTCATGATCCCAAACAAAGCTCAGATTAGGTACCACCACATCTGAATTGATTCTCTAACACTGACTTCATATTTCTGGGTCTGAACTGATAGCATTTATAGTGTTGCTGAATGAAGCAAGGAAGGAATTAGCTTCATAAGGCCAGTAAAATATCAGACTCTTTCAGAAACACAAGACCTAAGCCTACTTTTGTCAGGATGAAGGAAGGTTATTCTACCAGAGCTAGTCCTTTTGAGTTTCTAATAGTGAGCACTTCATTTTACTTGGCTTACAATGCCACTTTGGCACAGGGCAAAATAAAATAAAGGGCATTCATTCCTCAAATATCCATATGTTGAATGTACCAATTTAGACTAGAAAGGGTAGGGAAATGGGCATAATCTGGCTTCAACTAGAAAAGTTTCAAGGATCCTTCAGCTTAGACAATTCTTCCAGATATGGGCATAATAAGATTTGCTATTAAGAAATCATGGAACATAGAATAGCAGAGCTAGAAGAAAGCTTAGTCTATAGAATGTTAGAACAAAGACTTTCAGAGGTGGAAATTACCTTAGAAGATAGAAAGGCAGGGCTGGAAGGGACATTTGTAGCCCAAGTCCCAAACATGCTACATATCAGGAGAGCTAGTTAGTAAAACCCCAAATGGGGCCACAAAGAGTCAGACACAACTGATAAGTGACTGACTGAAAGTTAATAAAAGAGTGGAAAAATCATGGAAAAATATTGGTTCAATATGGTATGGAGGAAGGAATAAACATTTAATAGGGAAATAAACATAGAAGCTAGGTACTCTGCTAAGGGCTTAAAAAACCTAAATAAATATTATCTCATCTAATCCTAACAACCTGCAAGATGTCATTATGACCTCCAATTTACAATTGAAGAAAAAGAGATTAAGTGATTTGCCTAGGATCACAGAGCTAGTAAGTGTCTGAGACTGGATTTAAACTCAGATCTTTCTGACTCCTGACCCAATGTTTTATCCACTGTGCTACCAGCTGCCTCATTCATATATTAATACATTACTACATTTTATCAATGAAAAATTGGGTGTGTATTTTTGTTTCAATGAGGAAAAACAAAACAACGTCCATCTCTACCTGATGCTTAGTCCTGACTTAGCTCCTTACTTCTTAGAATGACAGAATCTTACAATTAGAGGAAAGAGCATCAAAGTCCATCTAGTCCTGGGGTTTGTGAACTTGTTTTTCTTAAATGTTTTGACAAGTCTATTTCAAGATAATTGGTTTCCTTCATAATCTTATGTATTTTATTTTATGTGTTTAAAACCATGATGCTGAAAAGCGGCTCATAGGCTTCACAAGATTTTTCAAAGGGATCTATCACATAGTTAATAATGGTTAGGAACCCCTGAAAGAATCTGATTTATTTCTAAGTAGTAATCAAGTCTATAATAATAATCCCCAGTAAATAGTCATCTACTCTTTCTTTCTTTTTTAAAGATCTTCAGGGACTAGGAACTTTTCTTTTTGAATAAGGCAGTCTATTATTCTACCTTTGGATGGGTCTATATTTTCATGAATTTTTTTCTTTACATGAAGCCTAAATCCTCTTCTCTTTCTGCATTACTTTTAATTCTACCCCCGGGGCCAAGCAAAGCAAGTATAATCCTTCTTCCAATTGAAAGCTCTTGAAATACCTGAACACTAGTCCTAAGTCTTTCCTTTTTCAGACTAAACCTCAACAGTTCCTCCAACCAATCTTTACATGAACATAGTCTCCAGTCCTCTCACCATCCTGGTTATTTAATTTATCTAAATCTCTTTCTTTATCCTTATTTATTGACTCAACAGTAAAAGTTAGTCCAAGGTAATTCAAAGTTAATGAAGTAATTTTCATCTTTCCCTTGTTCTCAAACCCTTGCAAAAGAGAAAACAGAAGAGAAATCCCCTATTCTTGATCTCATTTGCACATTGTATATTTTTATGGTCCTGTTTTTTGGGGGAGATTCTTTCATTGTTGTTCAGTCATTTTCACTTATGTCTGACTCTTCATGACCTCATTTGGGGTTTTCTTGGCACTGGAGTGGTTTGTTTTTCCTTTTCCATCTCATTTTACTGATGAGGAATCCAAAGCAAACAGGGTTAAGTGACTTGCTCAGGGTCACACGGTTAGTAAATGACTGAAGTCAGATTTGAACTCAGGAAGATGAGTCCTCCTAGAAATGAACTTTAAATGATATTACCTAGAGCTCTTGGGGTGCTGATGTAAAGAGATAGTGAGAGAATGTGATTGAACTCAGTAGCCACATGTAAATCTAGAACTAGGGGGTTTTGACTGGTAGAAAAAAAGAGTAAGTACAATATACCCCACTCTGGATCTATCAGTAGGTTCTATATTATTAAAAACATATAGGCCAGCAGGAAATCCATAGGGATAGCCTATTGTCAACATATAAGATATAACGAATTTGGCCCTGGAAAATCATGTTACTTACAGGAAGGTGATGATTCTTGTTAAGGATTATTTTAAGTTGATCATTTCTTCTTTTTTGATATTCAAAATTATTTGGCCAGTTTACATTTACATATCAAATTATTAAGGAGGCATACTTGCATTGTCCCAGGTAATCCTTTATTAAATCAAAATATAAAATAATTCCTGTATTTTTAATACTCCTCATCCAGGAACCTCATTTTTTTGTGTAAACCCTCTTGACATTCAGTCTAGACATTACTGGAGGGACCCACTTCATGAATATCAATCAATGTATTATACAGAGACAAAGAGTGTTAAATTATTTCCAAGCTTTTGCCTGTTGACAAAATGTTAGTGTAATAATTAAAAGAGTGGAATCTTAATGGCACAGTGGCACTTCCAAAGTACCAAGTGTATGCTAGTAATGTGTAGCCTTGAAGTCAGCTTAGGGAAGGAACTTAACCTCATCCTGAGCTCAAATTGACATTAAAATTGCAGTGAATCCTATGTAGGCAGAAAGAACAAGGATTCATTTTAAAGTGCCAATGACATCTTATTTCATGTTTTTGATTTTTTTTGGTGGGAAAACATATATAATATACATATATATGTCTATACACATACACACATATCCATATATGTATATGTACACATGCACATAAGTACATGTATGTAGAGGCGATACGAATATATCTCATACATATATACCTATATGTGTATACATATAGACATGTATGTATGACATGTGTCATACACATATAATATTGTAACATAACACTCTTTCTCCTGTGGCAACAGGCATTTAAAGTTTTTCACTTTGGGTGTGAGACACTTGTCACTTCTCTCTCTTGGATTCTATTTGTACAGTTTTGCCATTGAAAGAGAAGTAGCTTTGGTTCAGGCACTTGGAAAGAAAACTGGATAGGAGTCTAGGAAGCTTGGGTTCTTGTTTCCATCCTGGCATTAATTAAACATGACCTTGGGAAAGTTATTTCATGACTCTGTGTGTCAGTTTCTTTATTTGTAAAAGGAGGCTAATAGATTAAATGCTCATATGCTGCCCCTTCCCTCTCTGCCATAACTTCACTGCTGCTCCCATGAGAAAAATGTTAGTGGCAGTGGAGAGCTAGCCACAGATGAAAAAAATTTTGGAATCCAAAGCACCATGGGGTTGGAAATACATTTCAGGGCTCAAAGGGTCACCAGTGGCCTTTGATTGCTAGATCTTCTGTTCATCCTCATCTTGTTTGATTTCTCTGCAGCATTTGACAGTGATGATTATTCTGTTCTACTCAACAATCTCTCTTCTTTTTCTTTTGATAGCAATAGATTCCATGACTCATGATGTTCTTCTTACCTCTCAGATACTTTTTTCTATAGCCTTTGTTGGCTTCTAAGAATCTTCCTGCCACCTGGGTTCTCTCCAAAGTTCTTTTCACTCTTGGTAAGGTCCCCCTATATGATCACAAACCCTCGCATTGCTCAAAGGGTAGAATTGGGCACTGAAGGGGTGGTGTGGAGTATCAGGATGTTGGGGCACAAAGGTAAGTGTGGTTGTGTTGGAGGTGATAAAGTCCAGGATTAGTTATAGCAGGGAAGGTGAGATGCTACCCATCTCACCGCCTTTCAGTTGCTTCATCATATGCTGCCTTTGAGATCAGCTATGCCCCTCCAAGAGGGCTCAGCCTTGACCTTGGAGACCACAGTACCATACCAACATATTTATATAATAGCAATAGGGGACCCCTTTTATTTCTTTAATTTATTTTATGGAATAAAACAGCCATTTCCGTAATGTAGTACAATTGAAAAAAAAAATGATGGTTGTATATGAAACTGCAAATCCACCATGAATAACTTGCTATTCCTTCCAAATATGCAACAAAATCACAATGCAAATTTCTTTTTTATTTCCTTTTTTCCTCCCTTCCCCTCTGCCATGGAGATGGCCACCATTAGATACAAATAGGCATATATATGTGCATATATGCATATATATGTGTGTGTGTATATATATATATATATAATTATTCTATATGTGCTTCTATTTATCAGTTCTCTGGATGTCTATAGCATCTTTCTCTATATGTCCTTTATAGTTAACTTGGGTATTTATAATAACCAAAATAACTTATTCACTCAAAGCCATTCCTAAAACAATATTGCTGTTACTGTATCCAGTGTTCTCTTGGTTCTGCTCATTTCACTCTTCATTATTTTATGCAAGTCTTTCCATGTTTTTCTGAGATCATTGAGCTCATCATTTCTTATAGCACAGTAGTGTTCCATCACACTCACATACCACAACTTGCTTAGCCAATCCCCAATTGATGGGCATCCCCGAAATTTCCAGTTCTTTGCCACCACAAGGAGATCAGCTATAAACATTTTAGAACATATGGGTTCTTTTTCTTTTTCCTTAGTCATCTTTGGAGATAGACCTAGAAGTGGTATTATTGAGTCAAACAATATAGGTAGTTTAATAAATCTTGGGCCACAATCCCAGATTGCTCTCCAAAGTGATTGGATCAGCTCACAATTCCACCACAACAAATAAGTCCACATCCCCTTTAAAATTTTTCACTTTCCACTTCAATCATTTCAGTCACTCTGGTAGGTGTAAAACGATATCTGAAAGTTGTTTTAATTTTCATTTTTCTGATAAATAGTGATTTTGAATATTTTTTCATATGACTATAAATTGTTTTTCATTGGAAAACTGCCTGTTCATATTCTTTGACCATTTGTAAATTGGCAAATGACTCATATTCATATATATATATTTAACTTTATATATTTAAGATAAGACACATTTATCTGAGAAACTGTTAATAAAATTTCCCTGCCCCAATTTTCTGTCTTCCTTTTGAGCTTGGCTACATTTGTTTTATTTGTACAAAACCTTTTTATTTAATGTAATTGAAATTATAATTTTATACCTAACTTTGTTCTCTATCTCTTCTTCATTCATAAATTGTTCACCTATCTATAAGTCTGATAATATGTTCCATGTTCTTCTAATTTTCTTCTACATTTTCTTGTAATATCTCTCTTTATATCTAGGTCATGCATCCATTTTGACTTTATCTTGGTAAATGGTGTAAAGATATTGGTCTATGCCCAGTTTCTGCCTTACTACTTTCTAGTTTTCCCAACAAGTTTTACCAAATAATGAATTCTTGTCTCAAAATCTTAAGTCTTTACATTTGTTAAATGCAAGATTATTATATTTATTTGCTGCTGTAAATTGTATGTCTATTCCATTGATCTATCTTTCTATTTCTTATCCAGTACCAGATAGTTATGATAATTACTTCCTTATAATATAGTTTAAGATCTGTTACTGCTAAACCTGCTTCCTTTACATTTATTTTTATTATTTCCTTTGAAAATCTTGACTTTTTAATTCTTCCAAATGAATTTTGTTATTATTTTTTCTAATTCAGTAAAATAATCACTCCTTTTATTTTGACATCTTCTAGAGGTATCCATCAAAAGCAGGTAACAGAAGATGAATACAAAAGTGTGACATGATTCTGAAGAAAAGGGCTAAATCTCAGGGTGAGTTGAGTCTGGCAGAAAAAAAAACACAAAGTCAACAAAGGACCTTTTTTCAAGCTAAATTGGGAAAAAGACAAGATGCCAAGAATGAATAGGACTTCTGCTTGAAGTAGATAGGATTTGATAACTAATTACAGTGTGGATACAAAATTATTCCATTTTTATTTTTTTTCTTCTAGCTTTTCTTGACAAAGAGGATGATCATTGTACTGGAGATGACAAAGTAAATATTTATAATAGGAGGTTGATACTCAAGATAAGTGAGGAGACAGTGAGAGTACCTCAGTGGCCCTAACAAATTCAAAGTTACCTGGACCAGTTGAAATATATCTTGAGTATTAAATAACTGGTAGGCATTATTTCTGAAACATTTTATGTAATCTTTAAAAGACTGGAGAAAAATCTTTATGTAATTTTTATGTAATCTTTAAAATCTTATGTAATCTTTAATCTTATGTAATCTTTAAAAGACTGGAGAAAAAGAACATGAATACAGGAATAAAGAAGAATAAAAATTGTCCTGATTTTTAAGACTGGGAAAAATAATATCTACCAACTAGATGAAACTTCACTAATTCCTGGGAAGATTCTATAATATATTATAAAAGAGATGATTAGTAAATATTTAGAATAGACAACAATTATTACCAAGTGCCAACATAACTTCATCAAGAACAGAACATACAGATTTTCCAAGTTCCCTTTCATGAAAGGTACTTAACTGGTAGATCAGGGGAAAGCTATGAATACAGTTTACCTGAATTTAAGCAGAACATTTGATGAGGTATTCCATTCTATTCTTATGGGAAAGATGGAGAGATGTAGACTGGGTAAAAACATTAGAGTTGAATAGCTGGGTACAAAGAAAAAGTCATTAAGGACTTGATGTCAATTTGGAAGGAATGAATTGCTGCTGAGATCTGTCTGTAGCCTGTGCTCTTTTTAAAAAATAGTATTTTATGTTTTCCATAATTATGTGTAAAAACAATTGTAATTTTCTTTTAAGTTTTGAATTACAGATTCTATTCCTCCTTCTCTTCTCTTGCTGAGATGGTAAGTAATCTAATATAGATTATACATGTGCAATCATGTAAAACATATTTCCATTGTAGTCATTTTGTGGAAGAAAACTTAAACCAGGGGGTGAAGCCAAGATGGCAGAGTGAAAGCAGTGACTTGCTTGAGCTCTCCTCCAAATCCCTCCAAATACCTATAAAAAAATGACTCTAAACAAATTCTAAAGCAGCAGAACCCACAAAAAGACAGAGTGAAACAAATTTCCACCCCAAGACAACCTGGATGGTTGATTGGAAAGGTATATTGCACTGGGAGGGGAGAGGAGCACAGTGTGGCGTGGGTGCGCAGACCTCAGAGACCCTGGAGCAGGCCTCAGAGGACTGAATCGCAGGCAGCTGTGGCTATTTCCAGGCTTCTCAACCCATGAATGCCAAAGACAACTTAGAAGGTCAGTGGGAAAAGTCTGTGACTGTGGTGAGAGTTAGAAGCTAGGTCTCAGCCACAAGTCCCGAGCATGGACCTAGCTTCTGGCCCACAGACTGAAGGGGAATTGAGTGGTTGATCAGAGAGGGATTGCAGAGATCTCTCTGCCAGTGCTGGGGCAGGAATCTCTTGCTTTGCCCATGCTTGGATCTGGGTCACAGTTCTGAGGGGAGGTCCTGGGGTGAGAAGGAGCGCTGGCCTATTGGAGCTTGTTGTGGCAGTGGAGAGGAAACACCTTGCCCCTTATCATACCACCTTGGAAGAACTGAAAATTTCCAGGTCCCTAGAAGTATCTCTGAAAACAGCTGTACAAACCCCTGAAGCTTCTCCACATTGGAAGCAGACTCTTACCTTAACAAAGAGTTTAAAACTCAAGTAATTGGACACAATCATGAGTAAGCAGCGCAAAAAGAGTCAGACTATATTATCTTACTTTGGTGACAAAAAAGATCAAAACATACAACCAGAAGAAGACAACAAAGCCAAAGCTCCTATGTTCAAAGAAAAATATGGATCAATCCTGGGCCTTGAAAGAACTCAAAAGGGATTTTGAGAAGCAAGTAAGAGAAGTAGAGGAAAAATTGGGAAGAGAAATGAGAGTGATGCAAGAAAACCATGAAAAACAAGTCAACAAGTTGCTAAAGGAGACCCAAAAAAATACTGAAGAAAATAACACCTTAAAAAATAGCCTAACCCAAATGGCAAAAAAGGTCCAAAAAGCCAATGAGGAGAAGAATGCCCTAAAAATCAAAATTGGTCAAATGGAAAAGGAAGTCCAAAAGATTACTAAAGACAATACTTCCTTAAAAATTAGAATAGAGTAATTGGAAGCTGGTGACTTTATGAGAAATCAAGACACTGTAAAACAAATCCAAAAGAATGAAAAATTAGAAAACAACATGAAATATCTCATTGGAAAAACAACTGACCTGGAAAATAGATCCAGGAGAGAGAATTTAAAAATTATTAGACTATCTGAAAGCCATGATCTAAAAAAGAGCCTAGACATCATCTTTTAAGAAATTATCAAGGAAAACTTCCCTGATATTTTAGAACCAGAGGGCAAAATAGAAATTGAAAGAATCCATCAATCTCCTCCTGAAAGAGATCCCCAAAAGAAAACTCCTAGGAATATTATAGCCAAATTCCAGAGTTCCCAGGTCAAGGAGAAAATATTATAAGCAGTCAGAGAGAAACAATTTCAGTATTGTGGAAACACAATCAGGATAACACAAGATTTAGCAGCTTCCACATTAAGGGACCACAGGGCATGGAATATAATATTCCGGAGGGCAAAGAGGATAGGATTACAAGCAAGAATCACCTACCCAGCAAAACTGAGTATAATCCTGCAGGGGAAAAAATGGTCATTTAGTGAAATAGAGGACTTTCAAGCATTCTTGATGAAAAGACCAGAGCTGAATAGAACATTTGACTTTCAAATCAAGACTCAAGTGAAACATGAAGAGGTAAACAGGATAGAGAAATCATAAGAGACTTATTAGTTAAGGTTGAACTGTTTACATTCCTGCATGGAAAGATGATATTTGTAACTCATGAGACCTTTGTCAGTATTAGGGTAGTTGGAGGGAAAAAATTATATGTGTATATATATATATATGGATAGATAGAGGGCACAGAGTGAGTTGAAGATGAAGGGGTCATATCTGGAGAATAAAATTAAGGGGTGAGAGAGAATTATACTAGAAGAAGGCAAAAGGGAAAGGTAGAACAGGGTAAATTATCTCACAAAAAACAAAAGAAAAGGATCTTACAGTGGAGGGGAAACTGGGGAAGATGAGAGGGAATGAGTGAATCTTATTCTTATAGGATTTGACTTAAGGAGGGAATAACATACACACTCAATTGGGTATGGAAATTTGTCTTACCCTACAGGAAAATAGGAGGGAAGGGGACAAGAGAGTAGGGGGATGATAGAAAGGAGGGCAGATTGGGAAAGGGAGTAATCAGAAGCAAATACTTCTGAGGAGGGACAGGGTCAAAAGAAAGAATAGAATAAATGGGGGGCAGGATAGGATTAAGGGAAATAGAGTTAGTTTTTCACAGCATGTCTACTATGGAAGTGTTTTGCATAACTTCACATGTATAACCGATATTGAGTTGCTTGCCTTTTCAATGAGGGTGGGTGGGGAGGGAGGAAGGGAGAAAATTTGGAACCCAAAGTTTTAAAAACATGTTTAAAAAAAGTTTTCACACGCAACTGGGAAATAAGAAATACAGGAAATGGGGTACAGAAATCTATCCTGCCCTACAGGAAAATAGAAAGGGAAGGGGATAAGAAAAGGGGCAGGAGAGATAGAAGGGAAGGCAGACTAGGGGAAGTGGTATTCAGAATGCATGCCATCTTGGGGTGGGGAGAGGGGTAAGATGGGGTGAAAATTTGGAACTCAAAATCTTGTGGAAGTAAAAGTTGAAAACTAAATAAATAAATTTATTAATAAAAAAAAGAAAACTCAAACCAAAGAAAGAGAGAGAGACAGTCAGACAGAGACAGAGAGACAGAGAGTGAGAGAGAGAGAAAAAGAGAGAAAGACAGAGAGAGAGGGAAACAGAGAAAGAAGGCTTCAGTCTGTATTTAGACTCCATCAGTTCTTTCTCTGGAGGTGGATAACATTTTTCATCATGAGTCCTTTGGAATAGTCTTGGATTATTGTATTTCTGAGAATAGCTAAGTCTTTCACTGTTGTTCATTGGACAATGTTGATATTAATGTGTACAATGTTCTCCTTGTTCTGCTCACTTCACTCTGCATCAGTTCACGTAAGTCTTTTCAGGTTTTTCTGAAAGTATCCTGCTCATCATTTCTTATAGCACAATGATATTCCATTACAATTATATATCACAACTCTTTCAGCCATTCCCCAATTGAGCACAGAGCCTGTGCTCTTTAATGGTTTTATGCATTAGTATGGAATAGCATGCTTACCAAACTTGCAGTTGATACAAATCACTGAAAGGGTAGTTAACACACTGAATGATGGTCAGGATGCAAAAAAAGTTTTTTAAGCTAAATTTTATTTTTGTTTCAATCAATTCATTCTCCTCTTCCTGCCCCCTCCCCCATCACCAATGAGATAGAAAGAAAAACAAAACTCCTGATACAGACAGGTATAGTCAAGCAAAATGAATCCCTACATTGGTCATATAAAAACACCTCAATTTGCACTCTGAGTCCCTCATCTCTGTGTCAGTAGGTTGATAATATTTCATTATGAGTTCTTTGGAATCATGTTTGGTCATTCTATTGATTAGAATTTCTAGGTGTTTCAAAGTTGCTTTTATAATATTATCACTGTGTAAACTGTTTTGCTGATCCTGATCACTTCTGCGTCAGTTCTTCATAGGTTTCTAGTAAATTATGCCCTTGATCAATTCCTAGAGGACAATTACATGCCATCATATTTATACGCCATTACTTCTTCAGCCATTCTCTAATTGGTGGGCACTCCCTCAGGCTCCCATTCTTTGCCACCACAAATGTAGGGGGAAAAGAAAGATATTCAATACAGTGTGTAAGTCAATGGTTAGGAAGAAGACCTACCATGGGGCAGTGTCCTCTCTGACATCCGCAATAATTGACATTATTCTGGGAGTGAGACACAATGAAAAAAAGAGAATCTTTGTGGCAAGCCCTACAACGCAGTGTCAGAAAACACCTAGAAAGGAGAGCCTAGAGTGGATACCTTGGAATCTTTGATTATAGAGAAAGAGGGAGGTAGTCTCAGAGGGAAAGGCTTGCCCAAGTATCTGGGTGGACTGGATAAGTCCTCTAGCAGAAAGTAGGACTTGGTCTGAGACTTTAAGGAAGTCAAACAGAGGTATAGATAAGGAGGGAAACCATTTTA